CACTCCGGTCCCAGGAGGGGAAAACCCCCGCCCGGGCCCTTTATTCCCCGTTGAAAAGCCCGGCCCGAGGCGGGGGGAGCGGCCGCGGCGGCCGGCCTGGCCTGGCCTGGCCTGGCCTTTCGGGCCTTTTCCTCTGGTGGGCTCGGTGGGGAAAGGCTCGTCGTCGATCAGGGCCGAGGCCAGCGCCCTTTCGGGCTGTTGACGGGGAAGAAAGGGCGCAGCCTCCTTTCCCTCCACCCACCCCCGGGACGGGACCCTGGTCTCTTCCTCACAGCTCTTTGGGTGGAGGCACCAGGGCCTTCCCGTTGTGGTTCTGTGGTCGGGCCTTTTCCTCTGGTGGGCTCGGTGGGGAAAGGCTCGTCGTCGATCAGGGCCGAGGCCAGCGCCCTTTCGGGCTGTTGACGGGGAAGAAAGGGCGCAGCCTCCTTTCCCTCCACCCACCCCCGGGACGGGACCCTGGTCTCTTCCTCACAGCTCTTTGGGTGGAGGCACCAGGGCCTTCCCGTTGTGGTTCTGTGGGGCCGCCTTGTAATTGCAGCTCATGGCGAGCCTCTGCGCTCTTAGGAGGCAGCTAGCCCTGCTCGCAGAAAGGGCCCCCGCTCTCTGTGTGTGTGTTTATGTGTGTGTTTGTCCTTGTGCCCCTGAAAGGACGGGAGACCACCCCTGAATCACTCATTTTTAGTGGGGAAGGGCAGGCATGTGTATGAAAGAAAAGAGAGAGAGGGAGGTTAGAAACTACTCCCCTTTCCTAAGATTGATAAACCTGAGCCTGTTTTCCTAGGCTTAGGTGTTCATCCACTTAGGGTGGAGTCTTATAAGGGCACGTGCAGGAGGGGACCGTAGTCACAGGTAGTGCTTTCCAGAGTAGCATAAGGGGAAGAAAAACCTGTCCTTAGCCTATGTCTGAACAGCATTGTTGTACAATATTTTTCATCCTTAGTTGCAAGGACAATTCAAAGTGGTTGGCTAGAACGATCAATAATTTGTTCAATCACTTGGGGAACATACAATCAAGACATACAGTAGTTTCCTTAAAGTCCATAGTGAGCATTAAAGTAACACTTAGCCATTCCAAACCCTGTTGGTGTATAAGTACAGTATTCTGTGTTAAGTTGTTTTCCTTTCTTGTAGCCGTCACAGCACCAGGAGCTCTTTCTTCGTGTTGGTTTCTCCCCCTCTAATCTGCATGTTTGTTTTCCAATGCAGTACATTACTGCGTGATCATGTATCTTTAAAGTATTGCAGCCCTGAAAGTTAAACTGATTAACAGATCATAAGCCATGGAAGACATTAAATTATAGAAAGCCTCTTCTCTTGTATTAACCTGTTTCCCTAAAAATAAGGGTCTTAAGTTAGTTTTTGCTCCAAAAATCCAGTAGGGCTTATTGTCAGGAGATGTATTATTTTTTCCCATGTACAACAATCCACATTGATTCAGATACGGTCATGTCATCTTCTAGTTGTTGCACAGTGGTGGAGGGCGGGGTTTCACTTAACTGGGGCTTATTTTTGGGGTAGGGCTTATATGACAAACATCCTGAAAAATCATACTAGGGCTTATTTTCAGGTTAGGTCTTATTTTGAGGGAAATAGTGTATCTAATTGTATCTATGCATTTGCAACCCCACCCAATTAATATTTTGGTAGGAGGAGCGCTGAACCATAATTCTTTTTTCTCTAGATGGACACATTACCTTTCTCTTGGAAAAAGAATACCTGGAACACGCTTCATTGCTTTTAAAGTCCCTCTAAAGAAGGTAGGTGAAGCCTTTTCTTTTCATTCAAGATTTTGTCCACTAACACATTGTTGAAGAAGAGTTCATTCATAATCCGTGTTCTGTATACTTTTGTTACATTTTTAAATGAATTGCAAAACTTCGCGAATACAATTCCAAAACTGTTTTCCCTCTGTGTATGTGCTTAAGAGCTCATTTGTGTTTAGATATTATAATTTACTGCTTTTCTAGCTGTGGTTGTTTTAATTTGTGAACTACCTTGGATTCTGTGGTTGGGGAGAAATGAGATGTGAATAAAAGAAGTAAACATATAGTGTTGGATTGTGGCTTCCCTCATCTCTGGTTGTTGCGGCCCATGGAAATTGGAGTTTAGCATATCTGAAGAGGTACACTTTTTGTGTGTAGCAGTGATGAAGAGTAAAAAAGGGGTAGTTCCTAGTGTGACTTCCTAACATGGCTTGTTTCCTATTATAAGATGAATTTTTCAACCTAGAATTGTGACAGGTAAGCCATTAGAATGTAACTCTTTTAATTTCTGGAAAGGTTTCGTATCCGGCTTTGAGTACCACTTTGTGTAACCACAGTGTTATCAGAGTGTGTGGTAATGTTTCACAAATACACTTGTGTTCTACTTATGATATCAGAGTATCTTTTATTTTGACAGCCAATCAAAATATTTGGTTGAATACTTTTGATTTCTTTTCAGAGCTTTGAATGGAGGCTTGCCCCAAATGAGCGTTTTTCTCCATTAGACCTTGTTAATCAGGTTAGAGAGCAGAAAGAAGAACTTGGTTTGATTATTGATTTGACGTATACTACCCGCTATTATGAGCCAGAGGTACGTTCAGTTTCCCAAACACATCTTGAAAGATTAATATTATTCATAGGCTGAAATCCAGCAATACGTCGCAACTAGAGTAGGCTGATGAATCTATGGACTTTACAGAGGAGTTGACTCACCAAATCCCCACTGATTCATTGGGCCTACTCTTGTTGTGATTTACTACTAGATTTCATCCACATGATCACATAGCATTTTAATAAAAACACTGGTTAGAATTTTGCTTCTTGTCTTTTGAAAGAGGTTCTTCATTGCATCTCTCTGTAAACAAAACTTTGAAGAAAAAGATTTAGGGTTGGTTTTTTGATCACCATACTTCCAAGCAATGTAATGTGGAGTCAGAAAACAAAGTATATATTGCAGACAACACACCGTATGGTTTTCTGCTTTCTAAAATGGGTAAAGCTGTTACACTGACTTGTACGTCTTCTAATACAGTCCCCATCCTTTTGGCATGATTATCAATATCCTCAATCACAATAGACTGCTGCCCGACAGAATCATTGAACAGTCTTGCATCAAGCATAGTCACCCCTGGCTTAGTTCTTGGTTGAGCTTGTATGGAGGAGGTGTGTGTGCAGCTGAGTGGCAGGAATAGCCTGTGGTTCAGCCAGCTGGTCAGCAGAGCTGTTAGAGCATTGCATGGGCCAATTAGTGACTTATGCGGAAGGTGGTCACTGCTCATTAGCTTTAGGAAGAATGGATCTTTAACTTGAAAAGGAGTAAAAATTCAAGATTCTGTTGCCTAGCTACTAGGCTTAAGCCTTGAGTCAGGTTAGTTGGGAGATGCCAATGAAGTAACTGGACATAGCTGTCTAGGATGGAACTGGGCTTAGTAACGAGGGAGATCTCAAGTGCAAGTATGCCTTCTGCACCTGAACTTGAAACTAGTTTTTTGGTATTCACTACAAGCTTGTGTTCTGTAATTTCTCACAGGATCTGCCAAACACAGTGCAGTATTGCAAGATTTTAACAGTGGGGCATGAAGTACCAGATGGAGACACAATCCATAGGTTCAAAAGTGCCGTGAAAAAGTTCCTGATGGAAAACCAACATAACGGTGAGCGTGATCAGCCTGTTTGCGATTGGGCGTGGACGGCAGAAAAGTTATGACCCCTAGTAAAGCATGCCATGTTTAGCCACTGACTAAAAGCTATGCTGCTTCTCTTACATGACTAGGCCTTCTTTGCTTTTCATTCTATTCAGGTCTTCCTCATGCATTATTCTGCTTTTCAGGAAACGGTGTTTCTGATTACTTTGCCAACGCATTGCCCAACAAAGTGCTTTCTAAACAACTAATTTTTGGGCACAACTGTCCTGACAGTTGTAGGGAGTGCCAGCTTTTTCATGCATTCTGTCGTAAGGGAGTTTCCAAGATAAAATTACCTTTTCACCTTGGACCTGTATAAAACCACAAATTTAATTTCCTGTCCCCCTAGACAAGCTCATCGGAGTTCACTGCACACATGGCTTGAATCGAACGGGTTACCTTGTTTGCAGGTAAGCTGTTCTTAGGGCAAAAGTGCTGGTCAGCATTCTGGCTTCAGAAAGTTAAATGAATAAAAATTAAAGATTGATAAGCAGCCTTGTTGAGGCATTATGCTGCCCAGCACTGTGAACACGTTTGGTGCAGGGTGGGTAGCCCTGCCACCATCGCTTTTGTGTTCTGTGTGGTTTCAGTGCCAGATCAGGAGGAGAGCAGTTCCTTTTCACTCGTAAGCTCTTCAGATCCTTGGAAAGCCAGGGTTTTTGCTCACATTTAGAGCCTACCCACAAGCAGGAATGTTTCCTCTTCAGACCAGCACTGAAACCATGAAGAATGAGGGAACGGGCAGGGCTGGCATTCGCCTCCCAAGTGTGTACACAGTGCTGGCTACTGTCATGCACAAGCCTCTAGACTTAAGGTCTTCAGGGGAGGCCCTTCTCAGTCCTGTGGCCCTCATAAGCACATCTACAGGAGGACACTAAAGGGCCTTTTATGTGGCTGCTCGCAGGCTGGGAAACTCCCCTCCCCCCCCAAGTGGCTGGGTTTATCTCCTGCCTGCTCCGTCTACTAAAGGGGCTTCAGAGAAAAGAGGTGTTTTTTTAAAAAAAATGTAATTATTTTAATGTAATTGAATGTAATTGTTTTGTAAGCCTAATTGGGTTCCTCTCAACATTTGGAGGAAAGGTGGGATGCAAATGAAATAGAAAGCACCCCTGTTCAGTATAAAAGCCATAACGCCTCCCCTTCAGTTAAAATCAGGATGTACTTCTATGAAGTGGGTTTTCTGGATATCTGAATCCATTGGGTTTCATTAAATAGAGAATCACACTGCTAAGTTTTGGTGGTAAGTGTTTTTGCTCTATGCCTAATATCCAGATTGGTGTGTGAGAAGCATTAGTCATTTAGGTGTAACCAGACAAGCATTTAGATAAATATTTTTTCCCACATCACTTATTTTCTGCAAATGTTGTATTGTGAGTACTTGTTCTTGTACTGATTTTTCTCATGCAGCTAAATAAATGTGTTGCTGTTTTGTAAAGGTACCTGATTGATGTTGAAGGAATGGATCCAAACACAGCAATTGAATGTACGTGCTAAACCCTTATGCGCAGCGTTCGGGGTTTTGACTTGATTTCCCAAAAATGTTCCATGTCTGGAGGACAGTTGCTTCAGCCTAATTCTTTAGAGCATTTGTTGCACTAATGTAAACAACAATGGACTACTTGGAATCAGTAACCCCCCCCCCAAGCTTGGCTGGAGTCCTTTCTCATATAAGCTTTTATTTTTCTTGTTCTGCTGATGAGCATTAAAAATGGAACTTCAGAGCTGATGTAGTGTCTTAGCAAAGTGCTAGGAAGTGTTTTAAGCCATGCCATAAGCTTGTTAAGTGACTTTACATAGGCCAAAATTATCTCAGTACAACCCCCTTTTTCAGTGCGATGTGTAAGGCTAATGCTGACCCACTTTACTTAGGTCATCGATGAGATCACTCTTGAGCCAATGTAGCTTGCACTCAGTCCAGAGATGGGGCATCTCTTTTGCAACGTGTAGGCTGGGGTGGACAAAGCATGTCACTTGAAAGGTGGTTCCACTGCAATTCTGCCCTCACCAGTGTAGTCAAAGGGGTGGGGGGTGTGGAGTGCTGGGTGTTGCCGGTCTGATGACCTCTAGAGAGGGATGCTTTGCCCACTATTCCCCTCACTTACTGTAGGCAGAGGAGAAAATGGTCAATTTGGGGAGCAGCTGCTTGTGGATCACTGGATCACCTCCAGGGAGCACAAAACCACAGCAGCCATGGAGTGTTGCTGTTTTAGAAATAAAACTCTTGACAGCACATTTCTGCGTCATAGGGGGTTGCTCTCAGATGAGTGGGCACAGAGTAACTCTGTAAAACCCGTTTTCTTCCTCTTAGTGTTCAACAGCTACAGAGGGCATTCTATAGAGAGGAAGAACTACATTGAAGACCTTCAGAGAGGATCGAGCAGGAGAAGGTAAGCACTTTCTTCTGGAAGGCCCTGTTTGCTAAGTTTTGTTGACTTTGTATCCAGTTAGTGTTGGAGAATAAAAACTGACACACATATCAAGGATTTTGGCAGAAGAAATCCTGGTCAGGAACTGGTGCTCGTTGCTTCAGACTTCAGAGGAATACAAAAGGGACACATCCTTCCTCCCAGTTCCACTGCCTGTCATAATTGACCCAGGAAAAAGGGACCTTTTCCTTAAAAATATTTCTCAGTCCTGTAGTAGATATTGAGACGCCAAATTGTGTGTTTTTTTTTTAAAGGGAGTGATCGTTCATAAACTTGCTCAGCTTGAAATGGCCACACTTCTGATGCCTGTTGCTCTTCCTGACACCTGTGTTCCAGGCATTTTCATCACCAGGATGTCCAGTCTGCTGTTACTGAGCTTTTTCCATAAATGTTAGCATTATATATAGCTGGTCTGGTCTAACCTAAGCTGTGTATAAAATGCAGGAGGAAGCTCCCAGGGCACACGCAAGTTAATGACCGAAGCACCCTCTTCAGGTCCTATAAGGACTGAGTATATTCGATGGCCACACTGAATCCTGGATGGAGTGTGACAGGAAATGGGGTGTGGGAGTGAGTTAGCAGGAAGGCGATGCAATAGCCTGGCGGTCTTTCTGGACACTCTGTCTCTTGGTGCTGGACAGGAGCACTCCATCGTGCAAGTCAGTTTGGACCTCCTGATTTCCAGCTCAGATGCCTTACCTGCCATTCCTTAGCTGCCAGTTCTTGTGCATCCTCACAAAAGTACACCTTCAGAGAACACTACACTGTTACCTCCACAATTTTTCTCTTTCCAGAAATAATCACACGGCAGTTCCAGGAAGCCATTGGATTCAAGGACCTTGTGGCCCTCTTCCGAATCCTGGTTTCGAAGCAGCCGAATACAGCCCACAAAGCTTGCAGCCATTTCCCTCGGAAGCACAAAGGTTTCTTTTTCTCCCTTTCTCTTTTGAACAACAATTACAGTCAGGCAACACAGAGGCTGTGGGGTGTGGCAGAAAGTGAGAATTGGCCAAAGCAGGATGCCTTTCAAGTGGGCTTCCCCAAGTGAAAGTGGCCAGGTCAAACACCTGCCCACTCTCTAGGTCAGCCTCGGGAACCATCTCTGGGGCATCGTTCTGGTTCTTCACCCCTCTCTTGAGATAGAGAGTGTCCGTCTTGGTTCTGCTCAAAGCTCCCATTGGTGGGAAAGCTGCCACACACAGGCAGGGTCGTGACCTTTGGTCTCTCCTCCCAGACTCTGCCCGTCCTCCTCTGTTCCAAAGCCCTGCTTGCTTTCCAGGAGGGGAAGGGATAGGTTTCAGGGTCCCCCTGGTTCTCTTCCCCTAAGCCACTGGATTTGTGGGGGTTGAAACACCGCCCACCTTCTTGCTTTTGCCCACTACAGCTGGTGTGTGGCCCCTGAAACATTGGCCGTAAGAGAATGTGCTCCCCTGGGTGAAAAATGGGCTGTGGGGTCCTGCCACATCCTCATTAAATGAGCTGCCCCCTTCAGAGAATTTATTTATTATTTATTTATTTATTATGCCACATCCTCATTAAGTGAGCTGCCCCCTTCAGAGAATGGGGTTTACACCTAGATTTGGCTGAAGTGAGAATGCTGAAGGAGACTTTGTGTGGGAACACTAGCTTAGAGCCTTGTGCGCTCAGCAGTTCTTACAGCCTTTCCCTTTCTCTCTCCCTCCCAGGCATTTCTCTCCTACAAGAGGAGGGCACAGGCAACACCCACACAAGTAAGTGACAAAAGATTCCTGGAAATTTCTGAAGATATTACACACATCCTGCCTTGTATCTTTCTCAGTGTATCCATAGTCCTGAGCTCTTCCCTTCTGCAATAGTGAATTGTTTTTTCATTCTTAGAATAAATTATGCAAGCTGTTTTGGTAGTTTCTTGGAAAATGCATTTCTTAAAGATCTAGGGACAGGAGAGAAAAAGAGCCCATGGAGTTGAGTGGTTCTGGGGCTAATAAGCAGTGGAGCTTGAAGAGCTTTAACTGAAGCCCATTGCAGCTCCAAAGGGAACAAACACAAGGTGTGCAAAATTCCAGATAAAATGATGGGTTCTATGTTGACACGATAGACTTCAAACATGCAGTCTTGTCCCAAATTCTAGAGTAAATGACGAGAGTTCAACCACTGAGCATTGTCTTAATATATGCTGTGCTGATTAAAATAAATGCAGCTTCGTACAGGATATGTTGCAATGTTAATCACTGCTGTTTCCTGAAATAAAGTAGGTATGAACTCATGAATTGATCCTTTGCTAAAGAATGGTGCCAGTCACTTTCTGGGTCAGCTTGGGTTGTTGGTTTTAACATTTAAACCCGAAGTATTTTAACTTTTTAATGGCCTGTTTATCTAAGGAACCAGCTAATGATGCTTTCTGGCTGTAAATAGTTTCAGGAGAGGACCCCTTGAGACCACTTTCACCTGAGGAAGCCCACTTGACAGGCAGCTGAGAGAGGGGTTTCTCATGTGCTGTTCCCAAACTGAGGAGCCCACGGCTCCTTGCTTTTAGAAAGGGTGCAAAGACTCCATCTTTCAAAACCGATGGTTTAAACTATGTTTCATGTGTCTGATTTGGGTTGTCTGACTACAGTTTCATTTTTGCATTTGTTAAATGATGTGTGTTAGTTAATTACCTTGCCACAGTTTAAATTCTTCAGTACTCTGAATTTGCTTTCACATCTTAAGTTTATGCCATTTCTTTCAGAAAAATGTGTCTTACCCGGAATGTCGTCACCTGTTACAATGAAGGCCAGTTTGTTTACAGTCCTCAATACCCGCCTCAGTACCCCCCTGCAGCAAACACTATCCAGCAGAGACCAGGTTACAGCACCCAGCCCAACCACAGAGCACTCTACACACCCTACCAGCAACATTTCCAAGGATATCAAAGACCGAATTTTCACCTGCAGAATTCTCATTATTCGCTGCAACAGGGAAGGTATAAAATAGATAGACGACCCCGCTGGAATTCTTAGTGATGGGAACATAACAGGCAAGGAGGACAATTTCAAATTCACGGAAGACAAATCAATTGGTTTGCTGTGTATTCAGTGGATGAGAATTCACTGTTATACTGCTCTGTTGCCAACAGACTTCTAGTGTGTATGTGTGAATCAATGCTATCAATAACTGCTTGTAATTTGCTTGATTTTAAAGTTATTTTTTGGTGCCAGGTTACAAACAAGATGTAACTGTTCCTGCTAATAGGAGAACACAGATGAGAAGCTTGATTAGCTGAACTCATGAGATGCCCCTGTGTTGCTGAGTCTTCTTACACAAATGCTGCTAACCTATTGAATTTAACATTTCTGTAAAATAATGATTTTCATCTGCTGCAGTTTAACATGCAACATTTAATTACATGCACAAAATGCAGCACTACCTTCGCAAGCATTTTCTTGAAAATACTGTACTAACTGCTTGTCACATGGATCATTAAGATAGATTTTTTAAAGAACTATTTTTGGGCTACAGGCTCAATTGAATGTGTTGTGTGACTCATATAATTCCTTTAAAATGGATGTAGATGAATTGGCTACCAGAAGACTTTAAAAATTATATCGTGTGGCATCAGGCTGTCACCTTATATATATATATATTTTTTGCATTATAACATTTTGTCTGCAAAGCAGGTAATGTGAAAGAGTGCTGAGACAGTCCAGCGGCGAGGAGTATTCGGCTGCTGAGTCAGTGGCTGGACGTTTGAATTCCCATTGCAGCTTTTGAGACGAGGGAGGGTAGCTGAAATCACTTGGAGGGTGTGCGTGCAGCTCAGGGGCTTATATGTTTTGCTCTCCATGCAGCCTTGGGCAAGCTGCATGGTGATCCTAGAGTGGAAAGACCAGTAAGCCATGTCTACTACATACTTTATATTTAGAGAAACCTGGAAAGACCACATTAATGGTGAAATTAGTAGACTTTTAAGGGGAGGCTTCTGTGTGCATGTTTAATCTCACTTGAAGATAGAAACAGAGTTTTAGTCTATGGGCTCAAATTCCCGGAAATAGGAAGGGTGGCAGTTCCTGGCCAGAACCTGGTTTCTTCACCTCAGGGCAGGCAAGTGTCCTTCCTTGTGTGGTTGCTAGTGGAATGCTGAATTTCCCCACAATAATAATTTTCTTAATTTTGTCCTTAGAAGATTCTTCTCATGTTTCTGTTTCTGCAGTAAAAAAAAAGACACCGATTAATAAAGCATCATGGACTCGGATTTGACACATTTTCTTTCTAGCACTAAAAAGATCGATTTAACCCTTCAAAAAGTGCATGTGGGTCGCTGCAGCCACCATGCCCTTATGGTGGATGGAAAATTTTCCAGACCGACCTCTCCGCAGAGTGGGGGGGGAGGGGAAGAGACGAGGGAGAGCAGAAGACACGCGTCCGCGCCGCCCAAAACCCGTGTCTTCCCCTCACAGGCCGGGAGGGGGCGGGGCTTCTTCTACTCCCATCGGAGCTCCGCCCCCTCCGGCAGGACTTCCCTTGACTTCCGCCTCCTGAGCGCCACTTCCGACGGTCGCTCGTCTCTGTGTCCGAAGGCCGGCCAGAGAGGCCGGAAGAGGCTTCCGCCAAGCGTCTCTCCCGGAAGAGGGCCTTGCTCGGCCCGGGCCGCCGCCTCGCCTCCCCTCCCTTCCCGGGCCGCCGTTCGCTCTTCGGGGAAGGAGGCCGCCCCCGTCGGCAGGTGAGCGAGCGCGCCTCGGGTCGGTGGGGGCTCCTGGCCGGGGAGGGTCTCTGGGCCTTCTTCCTCCTCACCCCAGCCACAAACAACCCTGTGAGGTGGGCCGGCCCAGCGGGACGCCGAGGCGCCGCGGCTCAAGGGAGGATTGGAACCCAAACCCCTCCCGAGCCCCAGCCGGAC